GCATGTAAAAATCAAAAAAGGTAAAAATACAGACGTGGTCCGCCTTTTTCTCTTATTTATACAACCACCCTGTCGGAAACAACAACAACCAAAAAGGAAAGGGTTTAATCACCTTTACAATGATATACATTTTTTAAAAATCAGTTAAAAATTGTTTGCAATATAAGGAATTAAATTTTATTTAATTTTTCGAAGACCTGAACTTGGACCCCGCACAGCATCTGTAATATAAGTTTGCGTTTGTTAAATTCTTAATTTAAGGTCAATCATTGTAAAAATAACCTATGGTTGTATGTTTGACTTAAATAAATAAATAAAATAAATAAATAAAAGCAAAAGGAGGACTACGCCCATATTTTGAGGTTGTTAGTTATTTACATGCAATAATTAAATATAATTTTTTACCAAAGGTCCTGTTTGGAGCTTCGAAGCCCCATATCTCGATTTCGGAGGCTAACTTCGAAAAACGGAGAAATCCCTGTTTTAACTATGACTCAATCTTTAAAACAAAAAAATGGTTTGCTCCAATACCGAGAAAAAAAGTTGATTTTGCCGTATAGTATTATTAATTTACTCAAATAAATAATATAATAAAAGTGAATTTTATTAAGGTATTTTGAAGTTATTTTATTTTTGTTAATCCCAATCAAAGAACTAAGAAAAGAAGTGGCCTTCTGGGTACTATTTTGGAACCTCAAGTCCTTTCACCATAAATTCAGAAATTTGCTGAGAGAGAGCGTTCTTGGACCATTTGCTGAGTTAGGGCGTTACACAACCAAAATACAGCGTTCTTGAAAAATTTGCTGAGATAGGGCGTATTCGAACCAACTGCCGAGATAGATCGATCTTCCACTCAGCCATCGATATGTAGTATGTACATTAGGGTGGTAAAAAAACAAGTAAAGACGGAATTTTAATGCTCTCACACCTTAGAATTGTTCTATATAGAAAAAAAATATACCCTTATTTTTTATTTTGAAAACAAAAAATATATGGAGGTCGCACAAAATTCTTGAAATTCGCAAACATTGTTAAAAGAGCTTGATTTTTAAATAAATTTGATTGATAAGTAACTAAAAGCAAGCTCACGCCACCTCAAGTCAATGTTTGGTTTGCTGGGCTATGTCGTTGCTGCCGCCATCGGCGCCATCTGTGTGCTCGAGCTTGCATGAAAATGGAGCAAATTCTATCCACAGATACCAAGGGTTAAAAACAGTGTTGCTAAAGCACAAGTATGTGAATAAATTTTTTAACGCTATTTTGAAATTTTTGAGATGCCTTAAATTTCTTTAAATACATATTTTATACATTTCGCATTCGAAGTGAAAAAACAACGACAAATATTTACTAATAAGTAATTTATAGTGAAAATATGCTCTTTTTTTAAAAATATTTCGCTCATGCGCAGCACGCATTAGAGAGTACTCACTCTCTCTAAAAACACACTTGCACTTAAATATTTACATACATACTTACAAACATACCACTCATGCACGTATGAAAATGTACAAATTCCTTTGGAGAAAAACGATTAGAGCTAAGCTAAATGTCAGTAGCGAGCACGGCGGCGTTGACAAAGGCCACAGGATACAAAGGACGAAAAGAAATCGAAAGTCATATCTGAAGGCATTGCCAAAAAGTTTATACACTCTCTTGCATGTTGGATATACAGACAGACGGTAGTGGTGTGCTAAATGAAAAAAGGCATTGAAAAGAAAAATTTGAAAATAAAATTTAACTAAATAAATACAATTTAATATAAAATAAAAAAATCAACGAAAGTACCTAACTGTTGCGTTTTGTTTCACTTATAAATCGGCAGCTAAGAAATGTGGCAAAATTTTAGTCAAATAAATCTGCAACAGCACAAACGAATTAGTGGAGCAATAGGATTTTTGCTGCCGCTTTTGCTGCTTGGTGAGTATTACGACACTTTTCATTTGTTAAAATTAGATATTTTGCCTGCTGGATGAAGGTAGAAAATCGATATCCCAATGCGACATACAAATACATACAAATTTGGAAATGTTTCATACCTATAAACGTATATGTACATATTTATATTTGCATCTTCATAACAATTAGATGTGTTTAATTTAAGAAATATATATGACGCTTTTCACTTGTATGAATTATCTCAACCTTGCTAATTTGAAATTTTTTCTTGTTTAACTGCAGTTTCCCTTTGTGATGGCCTACAATTAGGCGCTTTCACCACCAAAACGCCCAGGGTCACCAAGTATACGACAAAGCCAGCGTCGGTAAGTTTATAGCGATAAATTCGGTGGGGCGTATTTAGTTGTTTCGTCATCAAACAATAATTGATTCAACGTTGAGACATATATGTAAATACATAAATATGTATGTATGCCTGTAAGGATAACCAGCCGACTTCGATCGATATGTTGTGTGGGTGTGCCACGTCACATAAGGAGCGCGCTTGGACTTCGTTCGCTTTATACATTTATGTATAGCTATAAAACTTACATATCGCATACCGTCTTCAAAAAAGGCACAAATAAAAAAAAAGTTGGCCGAATTTTTTGCATAAATGAATTTCTCAAATTCATGCAAATATTTTTTTTATCTTCATGGTTATATTCTCTAACTAAAAAACTACTGTTATACTTGTTTTTTATCTCGATTGCATTGAATCTGTACGATCCACAAGCAGATACATTTCCGAATCTGATTTTCGAGTTGTGTCTCTTTTGAAGACGGTGTGCGACACATAAATGCATGGGTCAATCCATGTCAAATCGACAAATGGTTGGTATAGGTCGTGATTGAATAAATTCTGATCAGAACTTTTCTTTTATTATATAAGAAAGGGAAAAAATATTAAAACTTCTGTTTCAAAGTAATGCAAAATCCCCAATATCACACGATTCGGAGTTTTCAAGATTATTTTTAGAATATCCCAAAAATTATCCTGGGTACAAAAATGGCTCTGGTGTCATTTTAAAGGTGATATTTGTGGCAAGAAAGAAAAAAACATTTAAGAAAAATTGGAAAAATAAAACCGTTTACAGAATTTTGATACCAAAGAATCCGAGTAGCGAAAAAAATTCTGAAATTTTCTGAAGAGATCAGTTTTTGATTTTAAATATTTTTTGTTACTAACTCTAAATAAAGTTATGTTGCGCAATTTACAAAAGTGAGAATAAACTGAATAACTTTTTTGCTTTTACAATTTTTTAAATTTGAAAATTCTGTAGTTTCTTTACTACTAGTTTTTGAAATATTAAAAAAAAACGTGCGAAATCTGGAAAATTGTGACTTTTTGAACTTTCGAGAAAAATTCATACATTGACCCAACTTGTAAACTAGAAAATTTATATGTTTTCTTTTGGAACCACTTCGTTATATGATAAAAGAAAAGTTCTGACCAAAATTCATCCAAATTAAAAATAGTTTATCCCAATTATTGGTCGATTTGACATGGAGTGACCCACATACATGCGCATACATATGTATGTATGTATAGTACATGAACTAACACACTTTCCAAAATGCGTACTTGTGTTTTCAATAGAGCTGGAAAACAACCGATGTTTGGGACCATCGATGTTGTCGATGATTTCAAAGCAAAACATCGATGTACTATCGAAGTTTCCTCAGTAAGGTTGGGTGCCAGTCGCTAACATTTTTCTCCGTAACGAGACGAGGAAAAACAATCTATATATAATTGCTCAGTCATACGACTTAGTTAGGACGATCTGGAGTAGCTACAGAATTGAGTTGGATATCAAATTAAAGTTCAAGCCCCATAGGTTATCGAAAAATTTGTCAGATTTCAAATCGGTGAAGTAGGTGCTAAAATATATGCGCTTAAACATTTTCTTGACTCACTCTCTTTACTTTCGCCCGAATTTCGGGGGGGTTATTACTAGTTATTAAGAATTCTTTAGAATTTATTTATAGTTAGTAACACAAAATATTTAATATCTAAAATCTAAAATCTCTTCAGAAAATTTCAGCATTTTTTTCGCTACTCGGATTCTTTGGTATCACAATTCTGTAAATTGTTTTATTTTTCCAATTTTTGTAAATTATTTTTTTCTTTCTTGCCACAAATATCACCTTTAAAACCAGACCATTTTTATACCAATAATAGTTTTTGAGATATTCAAAAAATAAACTTTAAAACTCCGGATCTTGTGATATTGGGAATTTTGAATTACTTTTAAAACAGAAGTTTTAATATTTTTTTTCTTCGGCGCCACTTCCTTATATAATAAAAGAAAAGTTGTAATTAGAATTTCATCCTTCTAACTTTATGCACTTAAAAAAAATAAGTCTAATTAAAAGGATATTTTCAATACCTATTCGTCCTTGTGAATTATCTCTTTCATGTGGTGCCCATACTTTTTTTGTACATTGCAATGCATTTTTTAAATACTTTTTAGAATTAATCATATCATTGAAACCATAAAGTCCTTTAAAAAAATCCTGGCCTCAGAGAGAAAACACTGATAACGCAGTTTTACTATATTTGGCCCACAGTTTCGTAAGTATATTGATTGCTTTATGTGCTTCGATTTTTTTTTGGTTTTTGTCGCACGCTGTAATATGTATGTATGTATTCATAAATACTTGCAATCGCTTTATAAACTGATTAAGTGGTGCAAGGTCGTTAGAGATATCCTTTCTGTCATTTGCTGAACGGGTTGCCGGTTTGAATACTATGTGTGTAATGAGAAAATACATAACATTGTATACAAGGCATTTGGTGGGTGATTATTGCATTGAAAGTTGAAATTGTTGGAGTTGTTTATTTTTTCAAAGATTTGCTCTATAAATGATAATATTACATATAGTTTCTTTATGCATAATACTATTTCTTTCCTCTTATTTTTTATTCGGTTAGTCCTCGTCAATGAATCACGAAGCCACCACATCAATTTATCGCCTCAATGCCACCAATGGAATCACTTGCATTTTGGTCAGCGTGGATGGTTTGATTAGCATTAAATATCGAAATAAATTGAATGAGGATGTCGAGGCGGACCTCTACCTTCCCGATGATCCCAAGTTAAGCGGCGAATGTGTGGAGTCCAACTACGAAACATTGCGGTTAGAGTTCAAAGGATTCGTGCTGACGATGACATTCCGCAAGGTAAACGACTCTAGCAATTATATCTGTATATTAAAGTTAAATATGTGAGCAAAAATTTGTACTAAAAATAGTGTCTGCAGAGCTTTTAAAACTACGCAAGCGTGTATGAATAATTGCTATGATTTAGCTATTCGCTGGGTATGACTACCCCAGCAGTCAATGCATGCGGAAAAAGTTCAAAGGATTTTAGCCCTATCAACTACGCATAATGTATGCACATACATATGTATATAAATATGTACGTACTGTGATGTGGTATGTGTGGAAGCGTTACTATTTATGTATATGGCTCCCACAATCACGCCTGAATGTTCTCAATGATGAGTAATAAACACATACGTATACGAAGGAAAATATTTTTATATAAAGATTGATAGGATGACCATTCTAGATTCAGCGATAGATCCGTACAGGTTTTAGGTCGGAACCAGGCACAAAACGACCTGCAGAAAACAGCACTCAGCCTACTTGCCGTCCATTCTACTGTTTTCATGTCCCTTTTAGTATGTTTTAAATCTGCACGATTTGCGTATAAACCTAAGCAGATTGTTCGGCGTCAAAGAGCTCAGGTGTTCGTCTTTCAATAATTCTTTCAAAGGCGGGGTAGAATCAATGAAGATCCGACAATGTGTGAGTCTGGGCTCAGTGCCGATATTAAACCAAAATTCAACCTCAGGGAATTCAACATTATAGAATCTCTTCAACAAAGGTAATTGTGCGTACTATCCTGTGGCCAAAATGCTGCCAAAGCTCTGGAGGTCTCGTGTTCCACGTGAGATTTCCACGACAGTTTTGTATCCAGGATTAGCGAGTCCGAATATGCTCCCCGTTCTTTCAGATTGGCTCTCATTTACGAATAATTACGAAATTTGTAATTTTTTAATTCAAATTAAATAAATAACTTAAAAATATAAAAAAGTCTCATAGTCCTTCTAAACATCTTCCGATGGCACTGAAATTTGAGAACATATAATTAAGTAAAGCTCGGTACTCAGCCTCGAAGGAAGCATTTGATTATCGAGCGCACTTTTCTGCATTCGTTTTATTATATTTTTAGGTTATTTTTACTGATGAAGAAAACAGTACGAAGAAAACAGATTTTTAATTCTGCCAGCTTTATATAGCTTGAGAAATAATATGTTTAAAGAGAATTTTATCAAAGTTAATAAATCTGAATTTTGACTGGTTTTATTATAAAAATACTCCTGTGTGCAACTTGAAGTTCTTGGTAACTGCGACGAATGTTTTTTTTTTATTGATTCACAAACTTTTCTGCCTTCTGGCCACACTTCAGCTAGTAACGCTTCTTCAGAAATAAGTTTTTCAACCCTTTCACCCTGCCAGGCTCACAAAAATGATGTTCTATATGAAGTTCTATAACTCAATCAAATTTTTTTTTACAAAAAGTCAATGTTTGAAGTACCTCAAAACTCGCGCAAATTTGTCAGTTCTAAAATACTCGTATTTTCATATCGAAGAAAGTGCACAACTTCGAACTTACACCTTATTATACTGAAATTAAATTGGCTATAAAAATGAATGCCCAAATCTTTTCTAAAAAATCGGAAAAAAATATTTAAAATTTTGATGGAAAATTTTTGAAATTGGTTGAATTTTCGCGAATTTCACATTTATTGACAAATTTTATATGGCAAATTACTTGATTTGAACATGATTTGTTTATGACTTAAGAATGAGCAGTAAATTAAGATAATGTGAACATGCTTAATAAAATAATTTTTTTGTTCAAAATTTTAAAATCGCATATATGTAAACCCCGAAAATAACNGGTTGAATTTTCGCGAATTTCACATTTATTGACAAATTTTATATGGCAAAATTACTTGATTTGAACATGATTTGTTTATGACTTACGAATGAGCAGTAAATTAAGATAATGTGAGCATGCTTAATAAAATAATTTTTTTGTTCAAAACTTTAAAATCGCATATATGTAAACCCCGAAAATGAAGCTGTTTACAAAAATTAATCTTTTTTCCATATGTAGTTGATGTTAAATCAATTATTTGACAAGTTGACCCCAGTCTGTATCCGCCACTGTTTGTGGGTTGTTCATTTTTGAGAAATTTTACCAGTCTAGCCGTTTCAGCCAAGGTTTCAATCCCGCTGCATCATTCTTTAAACGAGGCCCCCTTCGCAGAACGAAAAAATTAAATTTGAGGTTCCGGTTTAGAAGTTTTCTCGACTCACTCCTCCACTTATGAAGCTCCTTGTTCCACCAGAGAACAGGCGTACGGCTAAGAGGTGGACGAGATCTACAAGCGTTGTCCAAATTTGCACGTAGGGCAGCCCACTGTCGATGTTGTGGTTTGGCTTGGCTGTTCAAAGTGGTCATCTGGTTAGGCAATTTGAAGTGACATTTGTTCTGTAAACGAACCATGAAAAAATTAAATTGCTGATTTACTTGGAGGCTTCTTTTAGTGGTATTTTTAAAAAAATATTCGCATTTGCAGTCAATGGAAAACATCAAGATGCATGGTTTTCTAACAAACAAAAGCTTTATTTCCATTGTAAGGCAAGCGAAGTTGGAGGAGGAGAAAGTAAACTTTATATAATAAGTACTTTACAGTCTGTTTAAGCTAATCGTACATGGTAGAGAAATCTCTCTAGAGTTTTACTGAAATAAAAAGCTCCTCTCTCAATTAAGTTTACACGGTAGAGCAACTCTAGGAGATATTCAGTCTACCTAGAGACAAAATAGAGAAATCTCAACTTTTCTCTATCACGTACTCTACAAGCTGTGTACACGGTAGACAATAGTTACCCTGCAGTGAAACACCAAACTTGTCAGGAAAAATACTAGTTTACAACTAAGATACTGAAACCGAAGTATCTCGAAAATGAGCAGACTTGTACCAAGTACAAAACGATTTATTCATGCCCTGTTTTATTTGACTTCGACAGTTTAATACAATAAAGTACACAAAATATTATAATTTTTATTTGGGTATATTGTAAACCATTAAAGCGAGTAAGTATTCAATTATGTCAGAGTGCCAGGCCATTTTCACAATTTGGTGAATACCCCTTACATTTTAACTAATGGTTATGCCTCTTTCCAAAGGAGGGAGGCCATTGGAAAAGCCATTGGAATGCCTATGAAAATAAATGAAAATTTTCCGACATTTTGAAACGTTTTAAATCTACCTCAAATGCTGTGGCTGTACCGAATAAACGATTTGATGTCTTAGCCATTTCAAAATTTAAGAAACTGTGATGAAATTCATAGTCAAGACAGTACCATACGTCTCCGTAGAGCAAAAACTCTCTTTAGCTTACCAAATAGAGCATAGGGTTGTCGTAGAGCTTTCGTTCTAGCTGCGATGGACTGTATACACGACGAAAAAGTCTCGCTAAATAACTCCCACTTAGACTGTGAAGGTGAGTCTCTCGTAGAACTCTATTGAGTGTTTACTAGGGTGGCCCAAAAATGTATGTGAAAGAGTAAAGTCGGAATTTGTATGCTCTCACCCCTCCAGGATTTTTTTATACCGAAAAAAATATACCCTAATCTTTTTTATTTTGAAATCAAAAAATATTTAGAGGTCGCTGAAAGCGCTCAAAGTTTTCCATGTATTTTTATGGGCAAAAACCCACTTATCGTAGAAATGGTATAGAATAGTTAAAAATCAACATTTTCCCCCAAAAAACTCCGCTTATTTGCTAATCTCTATTTATAGGTGTCCAAGTATTTAAGTTACGAGCGCCTTATGGTGTTTTCGTTTCTACCAAAAAATATCGCCTTTTGATTGCGCTTTTCTCTTTCGTGTTCGATTCTAAAAAAATAATATAAAAAAACTTTTTAATATACAACGCTTTTATAAATGGACTAAAAAGTAGAAAATAATATTTCTCAGTCCCATAGAATTTGTTTTGATAACTTTTGATTTTGAAATTTTAGCAAAAGTCATTATAAACAATCTATGAAATTGAAAATGAAAAACGTGGGGCGCATGTAATGCAAGGCATTCGATTTAATTGACAATAGTCAAACTACATAACGTAGACCTAAAATTTCTACAGCGAAAGTAGAACTTTGAAATCGATTTTAAGCGGTCGTTATTCATATACCCA